TGTGCTGCCGTGCTTTGGGACGCTGATAGCCACTGCTGGGGACAGGGATGGTGACATGTCCTGCCGTGCCGTGGGACGCTGATAGCCACTGCTGGGGACAGGGATGGTGGCAGTGTCCTGCCATCAGACATTTCTACCTGTCTGTGGAATGGTGGCATCGTGTTCCCCTGGGGACAGGGACACAAGTGTGTCTGTCCCACAATCCCCCCAGGCTGGCAGTGCCCCCTGTCCCTGTTGGGCTCAATGCAGTGGATGCTGATCTGCACCATGTGAATTGCTCCTGGCATCATCACTGGGCTGTGCCAGGGWCTCCCACCCCATACCCACTGCCCAGGCACCCAGTGCTCGTCCTGGCATTTGACAACCAGCAGAGCAGTGCCTAGCACCACACACATGCAGTCCCATGGCTCTTCTGCTGTTCCCTTGGTGGCAAGTTGTGACAACCTGAATGGGCAGCATTTAGCTGCTCTCTAGGAAGCCATAAACAAGGTCTGGCCCTGTGCCCAGCACAGCAGAGCTCCATGTTGCTCTCAGTTGTGGCTTCCCCGCCCCCCACCTGTTTCCAAGAAATGTGGCTGAGCTTGCTGGAGGGATCTTGCCAGCATTTGTTTGAATGGTGGCTGCTACCCAGGTCTAAGAAAGCACCCTGGCCAATGCCTAGGAGCTGCTCCACAGTGGGATASAGCCTGTGCCAGGAACAGACAAGGAGGCAGTCAAAGCAAAGCAGCTTCGGATGGCCCAAGACACACGAGGAGAGAGACAGGCCAAAAAGACTTTGAGGGTGTGCAGAACAGCTTTTTGCAACCATGACTTTATGGTCAGATGCTTTCCTTACTATGGACCTTCTGCAAAAGCTGCCACAGCTCCCAGGATAAGCATCTTCCCAAACGGGMGTAGAAGACGCAAGCTGCTCTGAGATTTAATGGCACCAGCAGCCAGTTAGAGATTCAGAACCAGTTCAAAGCAGGTTCAAAGCAGGGATGAAGCCAGGACTTCAATTTGGAAAAACCTGTAATAAAGGAGCAATGGAAAGAAAGTATCATGGAGGTGATGACAAGAATGAGRAAAGTCATGAAAGGGATTTTTGACAGGCTAATGGTTGAGTCAACTGAGCAAAGCAGTGCATAGCACTGAAAGGCTGAGAGAGCCTGGAAAAGACTCCAGGAAGACTTTAGTGCAAACTTTCAGTACCTGAAGACAGCTCACAAAAGGCTGGAGAGAGACTGTAGACAAGGGTCTGGAGTGATAGAAAAAGGGGAAATTGCTTCACACTGACAGAGGGCAGTGCTAGATTAGAAAGTAGGGAGAAATTGTTCCCTGTGAGACTGGTGAGGCCCTGGTACAGGGTGCCCAGAGAAGCTGTGACTGCCCCATGCCTGGAAGTGTCCAAGGCCAGGTTGGACAGGGCTTGGAGCACCCTGGTCTAGTGACAGATGTCCCTGCCCACAGCAAGGGGTGGGACTGGATGGTCTCTGATTAAAGCCTCTTCCAACTGAAACCACAGTGTGACTCTATGACTCCTCATGTATCTCAGCTGTGAATTTGACTAAAAAGGTGCCTATGAATTTGAGTAAGACTCAGCACTGTAAAGACAGAAAGTGGCAAATGTTGCTACCAAGGAAGTTCTGCAGAAGTTAGTTAATCTGACCATGTTCCAAGCTAACTACCGAAAAAAAAGGGAGTCAGATGCATTGAGAAATTAATTTTTTTTTTTGGCACAAGGATCCACAAGGGTTTTTTTTTAAGGAAGTCACAGCCTACAAATTTATTTGGGTTCTCTGAGGGAGCCCCATGTGTGGATAGGGGTGTCTGGTAATGCATTACATTAAGATTCTAAAATGCTTTTGACCTTGTTTAGGTGCTCAATGTCTCCAGCCTGGGTAAACTGCTCAGAGAAGCAGCAGCACGGGCAGTTAGCACAAGACATTTGATGGAAGAAATAGGGAATCCAAAGTGTTGGGCTGTATCATGAGAAATGCCATTAACCTAAACCAGAAATACTGACCTAGGTGAAACAAACTACCTGAGGGAAAAGCTGCAATCAGCTACTTAGGAGGCAGCATGCAAGAAAGAGGGTTGAAACAAAGCAGGACAGTTGTCAGACAACACAAAATTTAGAGCAAGAAACAGAGAATGTCAGAGGCACACTGAGAGCACCAGACAAGCCAGGTCCACRTGGCAGCAGCACACCAGTCAAACATGCATTTCCCCAGAGGCATTTAAGGAGCTGCACTGCAGAAGRACTTACCACTTCCATACAGAAATGAAACAGAAAACTCAGGTCTGGGACCACTGGGGAAAATGCCAGCAGGTGGGGAAGCACAACCCAAATTAAATGTGATCCACCAGCTGTGGCAGTCACATGGTCATAGGGTGATGTTTTGACAGAGAGCAAAGTGTTTTGTGGGAGGAGCTGGAAGACAATCCTGTGCTGCATCTGCAGACCTGTGGGGAAGACTTTTCCAGGGATATGATGTTTCAAGAAAAAGTGTGGAGGTATTTATTGGAAATTTGGATAAAGGCAGGGGAGGCCAATTGTCCACAGGTCAGGATCTTGTAGGTTAACTYGGGGTGATGTTCTGGGTGAGGCTCTGAGGAGGGGCTGTGAAAGGACAGGCTGGAGTGGATGAAGTCATTGAGAAAAAAGCTTTGGACAAATTCTTTGTGAATACTGTCTTTGGGAGGGAAAGCTGGAGCTGCRGGAAAATACAATGAGATACAGACATGGGCGGATGTGCAAGTGAAGAGAGATGACTGTGCTGGACACAGGCCCAGGCTTTAGGCTGGAATGGCATGAAAATTCCTAGGGTTGTTAACAGTGACTGAAGTGGCCTGGTRGATTTTTCAGAAAAGAGTGATAGGACAAAAAAATTCAAAGATCTTGGCATTTTTTACTGTTTTACCAGCTGGACACAAAGACTAACTATTCTACATGGAACAAATCTGTCTGATGAGAGTTTCTAAAAGAAAATTATTTTCTGACTTCCTGCTCTGGGTGGATTCCTAAACTACTTAAGTAGAAACCCATTTATTCGTCAATATTGCTGTTTGGCTTTTTCCTAGAAACTTACCTGGGTGTCCCCAGTGGCTTTTCGGAGGCTCATATGACCTGAGTCGAGCTGGTGTACCGGGGACCCAGAGATGTAGTAGCCATTCACTGTAAGAACACATGGGAGAGTTAGCAGGCTTGCTGCTGATAGCAAATGAAAAATTGCACATTTTAAAAACTAATTCCGTAACTGAATATGCAGCTACAGATCACAATATTTTAAGGCTTAGGGGTTTTTCTCATTATCCAGCTCTAATTTGATTGGTAACAGAACATTTTCTTGAGTGGAGTTGGTTCTGCCCATGACTGTAACCAGTGAGTGATCTTTCCCTGTCCTTATCACAACCTGTGAACCTTTTGTTGTACTTTTCTCCCCCATTCCAATGAGGGAGAGAGTGAAGGAGTATCTTCCTGGGGCACCAGGCATCCATAAAAAGTACTGGTCTAAGAGAGTTGGGTTTTCATGTCAAGAAGGCAAACCTTGTAAGATACTTATGTTCATGCATGGAACTACAATTTGCTTTTTCTCTTAATATACTGAGCAAGGAATAATGCTCAAAGTAATGTTAAAATAAGATACCACATTATAAATCCTTTGGTCACAATGAAATGCACAATCTTCATGCAGACTACCCACTCAGCTCCGCCAATAAAGAGGGACATCAGTTTCAAAATTTCTATGGAAAAAATACTCTAGCCTGTGTTATTTACAGTCAGCTGGCAGAAATGGCTTTTACATTTAATACTTTTTGTTCTAGAGTAATTTTTGCTTTGTTTTGTCATTCAGCACCCAGAGCTTTTCACTACAGTTATGCATCTGACTCTGCTACTTGCTTCCTTGCCMCCTCAAGTCAAGACAGAGATGACATGGTCACCCCTGTAGCCATCACATGCTAAAATGCTTCACTGTGTGTATGCTCTGTGTGGAAGAGCATCAGCAGCCCATGTGCGGTGCATCTGCAGCTCATTGATTTTCCTGCCCTGTCAGAAAGCAGAACTGAATTGGGCCACTCTTTSCCTCTGTGCTCCCAGAAGGAGCCAACCCAGCCCTTGAGCAGATAATTCAGACACCCAGACAGAAGGTGGACTGGCAGGGAAACAGTAGTCGAGAAGAWGTGTTAGAAGAGAAAGTCCCCCCATATTTGCTCTGCTACACTCCCATGACCATGTAGCTGGAGAAGAGAAGGGTCTGGGGGGACTTTAGAGCACCTTCCAGTGTCTAGCAGGGCTACAGGAGAGATAGAAAGCACATTAAGAAAGAGTCTGGATTGACAGGACAAGGGRCAATGACTTGAAACTGCAGGASAGTAGATTTAGATCAGAGATTAAGAGATAATCCATGAGGCCCTGGCACARGCTGCCCAGAGAAGCTGTGGCYRCCCCACTCCTGGAAGTGTCCAAGGCCAGGTTGGATGGTGCTTGGAGCAACYTGGCTCAGTGGAAGGTGTCCCTGCCCATGGCAAASGGGGTGGAATGAGATGATCTTTACAGTCTCTTCCTCCCAGAACCATTCTATGATTCTGTATGTACATCAACTCTATATCCCTCTGTATCACAGCACTTCCTTTTGCTTTGCTGAATGCTAGAGAAGCAGGTTCACCCAGTGCAGTAGTCAGGCACAGCATCAAACAGTACCTGCAGAACTCTTCTGTGACACAGGGCTCTTTGGAGTCCCAGGCACACTGCTTGGACGCTCCCAGGTCGTTTCTGTTGAAGGGAAACATGAGTGTAARGGTGATGGAGGCTTTCACACACGTACCAGAGTTATGACTATTACACATTTACCAGTGAGTCTGACCCTCATTATCCTCTGAACCAGCTTTTTATCCTCTGAGGAAGATGCCTGCACCTCCCTGCACTTGCTCACTCCCCTCATCTCTTCCTGCTACAGCTGCCAGTTGGGATGGGTGGAGACAGAGCAGACTGGAAGCTGCATCACTGGTTTTTCCAGATCACTGCCTGGGAACATTAACCTCACCTGCACTGACTGCCCTTGCAGGTGGAGTTAAGTCCAGCCCAGAGTGGGCACTGCCTGCAGCCCATGTAGGCATCACCATATGGTCCTCAGCCTGGGGACAGGCACCAAGCAGTGGCAGTGCCTCTGCCCTTGCTCTCTCCATTAAAGGGAGCTGTGAGTGACTCACAGATGTGGTTTCTGTGACATATACACAAGCTGTAGCACCTTTTTCCCAAAAATATATTTCCCTGGGAAATTTCCTTTTTTCCACCCAGGTCATTTAGCAGTTGGAATATGCAAATATCTGTCACACCAGTTGTGACACTCCAAAGACTACTGCTGCTTTCCCCCTCAGTTGCCTCTGTAGCTTAACCATTCTGCTCATTTTCTCAGTAAATGAGATGACTACATGCTGAAGACAAAAGATTTAAGAGCAAAACTTTTTTAAAAGTTGTGAACAGAAGACAGTGGAGTGARAGCAGCAACTTCCCCACAAGTCCAGCTAGAAAGCCCAAGGCACCTTTTCTTTTTAGTAAACATATCAGTTCCAAATCAACTAAACAATACTCATTACCAGATGGTATCAAATAAGAAAATAAGCAAGTCACTGAAATTAAATCCAAGAACTACTTTGGATATTTCATTTGAAACCGCTGCTTCCCAAATCACAATCAACAACCATTTAAATCTGCCAAAGCCTGAAATCCTGCAGCTGTGTCAGTAGAGCAGATAATCATGGTCAAGTGGTGGTGGAGCAGGGAAGGCCTTGATGATTAAACAGTTTAGGGTTGGCAGWGAGTACCTCCTTCAGGGCACTAAGACCTCCTGTTCTGGGCCAGTGGTTATTTGGGCATCCAACAGGATGTTAACATGTGTCAAGAACCACAAAAGGCTTATCTTTATATATCCACTCATACACATAGGTATATAAATATATGAATATATATGTTTATGCCATGGGTACATTTGTATATATGCAAATGAGATGTCCTCAAGGATTGTGTTAGGTTCCTTATTTCCGGAAAGAACTCAGGATTAAAGATCCCAAAAGGAAGCAGGTGCCATCCCCCACACCTGTAATGTCCCTGAGACACACGCCCTGCCTCTCCCTATCCTTCCCCTCTCACTCTCTCCCCAAACCACAGCATGCTTTTGCTTGCAAAGGAAAGTACTTTGAGCTTTTTCTTCCCTTACAAGTGCAAAACCTGATAAAACTAGAARCTTTGCTGAATCATGGGGAAATATTTAAATTTTAGTCTGTTTTTGTGAATTGGATAATAAGTAAATAAATTCCACACTAGGTCAATAAAGAACCATTGAGAAGTGTTTTAACTAACAGAAGCAAAATCTAATGCAAAGAGTTGTCTTTTATGAGTCAGCTTTGCTTACAAYTCACAAGTGCATGGTTAAATAAAGACAAATTCTAGTTTGCATTTATTGTAATGCAAAGGTAAACAATACAGTATCCATGTGTCTTGTAGATTTTTTTTTTTTATGTAAATTGTTGATTAATTAATAATGTGAGTTGAGATCTGGGGGGAGGGTATGTGATGCCCACTGATGCTGCACCCCAGTCCAGTCAGTGAAGTAACAGGATTTTGTCAGCACTGACTTTGACATTAGCAGTAGAGCAAGTTACCTTCATATTTGGCTTGGGGGTTTACACAAGCATATCGATCTCCTCCAGTGTTTCTGCATTTTTGAGACCATACAGAGGAATGTACCTAAAAACCTACCAAATGTAATTAATTGGTTAAAGAGKCACAGCTCAGTTAGTCAGAGCATGATGCTAATAACATGAAGATTTTGAGTTTGATCCCTGAAGAGTTGGAATCGATGATCCTTTTGGGCCCYCTCCAGCTCATAATGTTCTGTGACTGTGAAAATTACCAGCTGCTGAAAATTACTGTGTAACTGGTCCCTGCTTGCTGGCTGCTGTGGAGCTGCCTTGCAGTGCCCCATTTTTCCCCTCTGCCACACAGAAGACTAATACACATAACTTGACAGCAGAAAATTCACACATGAAAGAGCAGTGCCCAGTAGTTAGCAGATTTGTGAATCCAATCCAAAACATTCAGTGTCTTGACAAATTTTCCAAAATAAAATAACTTTGGAGTTAAGGACATTGAAAAATAAAAAAAAAAAACCCTTAGTGCTAAAAAATGCATAAAATTAAAAAAACAAAATCCTTAATTGGGTAGGAAATGAAAAGAACAAGAGTGTTTTAACTCCATTTATTTTAGCACTAGGAGAAAAAATATTCCACTTCTGTGCAGGGATTATTCTGGCAGCCCAAGTAGGRCTAGGAACTAATCTGGATCAGGACTGCACTGCTGGAATGCCATCTACTGGAAGCAACTACATTTACCAAGGTAAAACTGTAAAATCACAAATTTCTCTGCAGCTTAGTCATGATTAGAAGTGAGACTGGGGATTATAAGTGAGTGGGGGGATGACTTTAGAGATACAGAAAAGGACTGTTGAGAGATAATGCACTGTCTGATAACAGAAAAGGCACATTCTTGTTTTGGAGTACCACATGGAGCCTTTGCTCCTGTGCTTGGAAAATTGGAGGATTACTTGTAACCCAGCAGTAAACAATGATCATGGCTATTAGGAATAGATTCCATATTGGCCTGAATTTTATATCTCACACAGTTTTCCTGAGAGGATATTCCAGCCAAGCTAAAGCMTTGTACTCTAAATTGCCAGTGCAATTCAGCATTGGCAGACCAACACCAACAAGTTCTGTCCTCCCTTATCAACCACATGTTAATCAGACCATTTAGCCAGTGTGGGGAAGAATAACCAGTAGTTTCTTTGAAAGAAATAACTTGGTTAGACTGGCATGTTCCTGGAGCTCCTGCCCAGCACACCTCGGTGTTTCCCCAAAAACCAGGTCAGCCCAGGGCTCAGCAAAGGCAGATGAATTACAGGGCCCTCTGTGTGAAGAAAACCAGTGCTGCAGTGCTGAACAGCAGCAAGGAAGTTCACCACTCACAGACAATTCTTGCCTGTGAAGGAGGATGTGAACAAAAAGAAGTACTGCAGCCTTGGGAGATATCCAAAGCCAGGGCTAGGAGCCATCTGGTGTAGTGGAATGTGTCCCCTGCAGGGAGCTGGCACAAGGTTACTTCCAATCYAAACCATTCTGTGGTTCTGTGGAATTTAGTTACTGAACAGCAAGGCAGGAGAAAACCACTTGTTAAAACTGAAATGACGTAGTAAAAGGAAAAAATAGTTACAAGATCCAAACTATACTGGCCAACGGAACCAGAGAGGGTTTTCACAGAAGTGGTAAAACATTTCCTACCAAAGGAAAGTGGAAACCTGTGGTATTTGGGGGAAGAAAGTTCACTTTTGTTTGGCAGAATGAGAAATGACATGATRTATCAGGCCTACACACACTCTGGGATGTTGTGTTGGTCAAGAAACATAGCTTCTGAGGACATCCTGAAGCAGATGATTTTTGTGATCACACTGTAGCAGCTGAAAAATGAATTATTGGTCCCTCTTCCATGACTTCAGTAGCACTCTAAGGTCGAAGGAGCTGCTTTCCAGTATGAACCTACAACATCATCTAAATGTCAGGGCTTTCTGTACTAGTGCAATCCCTCATGACTGTGCTTATATTCCTTTTAGGAATGGACTGAATACCTTGGTGCTGTGTCATTTGTAGTTCTATTTTAGAAGCTAAATGTTCCATAGTTTCATTGTCTAAACTACAAGAATGGGGCAGATCAAACTGGCAATTCAGGGTCAGCTTACTGTGCAGARATCTTTCCTTGTCTTAGGGATCTGTAGCACCTACCATGTGTCACTCAACTACTGGTGGTAACTCACATCTTTATAAATCGATTTGGAGTTTATTTTGGCTATAAATAGCAATCTATGGCTATAAAATGGCTATAAATCACAAATCTGTGGTGCTGAGCAGCTCTGAACCCAGTTTCTCCCCTGAATAACTGAACTGAATAACTCCCCTGAATAACTCCCCTGAATAACTCCCCTGAAGCTGTGCAGACTGCACAGACCAAGGATGAAGAACAGTAACAGAACATGTACCCTCTCAATGCCTCAAGAAGAAACCCTGCAAACATCTCCCAAACTGTTCCTGAAAACAAGCAGAACTAGAAGTCACATTAGCAGAAGTGTAGAACAGGTCCACAGKCTTAACTCCTCCCTTTTGGATTCACTTTCCTCTTGCCAATGGCAGGCAGGAAACACCTGTGTGTGCAGGCAGTTTGCAAACCCTCTATAACTTTTCTCCTCCACTGAATCTCCATAGGCTCTCAGAAAGGTTTGTGGCCTGTCCGTGGCTCCCCAAAGGGAAATGACTGGTTTGCCCTGTGACTCAGGCAGGGGGAGCAGAGTCTTGCTTTGAAAACAGGTTTCCTTTAGCACCACAGTAGTACACTCTCAGCCCAAACCTCCCATTTGCCTGGAGTCACCTCACTCTGAACCTCACCTCACTAGCCAGGAGCAGAGAACKGTCAGGGGTCTCGCACCTCATGTCCCTTTTCTGGCTAAAATCTTCCCCACATTTGTGACGAATTGGCAAAGGTTTCATGGCCCTTCATTTCTTGATATTGTGTGTGGTGGAAAAAAGCCCATAGGAATGGCCAAGGAAGTGTGAGGGTTTGGACGTGTTAAAGAAGGAACTTCATTCACAATACCCTGAAACTCATGTGAACCATTCAAAACTTTTGAAGTAGAAGGAGTGGATGAATGAAAGTACAGTTAAAATAKT